CCTCAGAGTCCCAGCAGGAGTCCAGTCCCTGTGCTCCTCAGAGTCCGGGCTGGTTCATATGGGACTAACATGTCACTAATATATAGGACTAATGTGGTCGTACTTCCTGGTTCTAGTCAGGACTAATGTGGTCGTACTTCCTGGTTCTAGTCAGGACTAATGTGGTCGTACTTCCTGGTTCTAGTCAGGACTAATATGGTCGTACTTCCTGGTTCTAGTCAGGACTCGAGCTGCTGCATTTTGAATGTACTGCAGCTGTTTTACAGCCTGTTTGGACAGACCTGTGAGCAGGCCATTGCAGTAGTCTAACCTACTGGAGACAAATGCATGGATAAGAATCTCCAAGTCTGCTTTAGACACTATGTTTTTGATCCTGGCAATGTTTTTTAGATGGTAAAAAGCTGCTGATGTTACTGATTTGATGTGGCTATTAAAATTTAAGTCTGAGTCCAGTATTACCCCTAGATTTCTGACCTTGTTTGAAGGTTTTAGGGAGAGAGACTGTAGATGACAGATGACGCTCTCTCTTTGTTTCTGGGGACCAAAGACAATCATTTCAGTTTTGTCTGCGTTTAGCTGAAGGAAGTTGTTTTGCATCCACTCACTGATCTGTTGGATACAGTGAAGGAGTGAGTCCACTGGTCCATGTTCTCCTGCAGTCAGTGAGACATAGATCTGAGTGTCGTCTGCATAGTTATGATAGGAAACTTCGTTTCTGCGTATTAACTGACCTAACGGCAGCATGTAGAGATTGAACAGAAGAGGTCCCAGGATCGACCCCTGTGGGACTCCACAGGTCAGGGCCATATGATCTGAGACACAGTTTCCAATCTCCACAAAGTACTTCCTGTCTTCAAGGTAAGACCTAAACCAACTTAGGGCGGTGCCAGCGACGCCAACCCAGTCCTCTAGTCTTTGTAAGAGGATCTCATGGTTGACAGTGTCAAAGGCAGCACTTAGATCTAACAGGATTAGGATTGAGACTTTGCCTGCGTCAGTGTTCAGCCGGATATCGTTTGTAACCTTAACGAGAGCAGTCTCAGTGCTGTGGTGGGGTCTAAAGCCGGACTGAAACATATCAAATGAGTTGTTGATAAGAAATCTTAAACATAATTTAAAAATTTTAAGAACTTGAATTTCTTTTTTGTAAATACATTTTCAGTTGGCTAAACATAACTTTATCTTTCATTATACAATTTTTAGTTACATTTTACAGAACCATAATTTTACCAACAAACAAATGATTTGAAAAGCTGTATTTATTGTCTGCTTCAATATTTTTAGAAAATTAAAGTTGAACAACACATTGCCTCACAATTTACACAAACATTTATAAAAACCACATCACTCACAAAAGGTGCTTTAAAAACAAGGACCTTTCAAAATGTCTCCTGTTCCTGGTCAAATCTATAAAATATATCATCATTGTAAGTACAACACGACATAAAAAAAGTAACAAATACAGTAGTCTCACACTGTTCACCAGAACTCTTATTGAACAATGAATTCACTCGTAACCAGCAAAAAGGACGTTTTAGAAAATGCTGTTTTTTAAAGCAAGAATATTGGCACTAGTTTTTAGAAGGTCAAAGTTCAGAAAGTTTCTGGGAAAAAGTGTTCTTTAGTTGTTTTTGTCATTGCTTGGTTTCAGAACACATGAGGCCCATGAGGAAAGCACAGCACCTCAGTAGTTTTGTCTCTTGAATTACTTTGGTTCCTTCAATGATGATGGTGGAGGTTGTGGATCCAGAGTCGCCAATGGAAGCATTAGAGTTGTGTTGTTGTCAATGTGACGGAGCGTTTGAGAAGAGACCAGAGAGAGAGCCCAGAAATATTTGCAGCTGCAGTCTCTCTCTTCAGACACAGAGAGAGTAGCTGCAGGGTCTCTCTCCTCAGCCACAGAGAGAGCAGCTGCAGGGTCTCTCTCCTCAGCCACAGAGAGAGCAGCTGCAGGGTCTCTCTCCTCAGCCACAGAGAGAGCAGCTGCAGGGTCCCTTGTCTCAGCCACAGAGAGGGCAGCTGCAGGGTCCCTCTTCTCAGCTACAGAGAGAGCAGCTGCAGGGTCTCTCTTCTCAGCCACAGAGAGATCAGCTGCAGGGTCTCTCTTCTCAGCTACAGAGAGGGCAGCTGCAGGGTCTCTCTTCTCAGCCACAGAGAGAACAGCTGCAGGGTCTCTCTTCTCAGCCACAGAGAGAACAGCTGCAGGGTCTCTCTTCTCAGCCACAGAGAGATAAGCTGCGGGGTCTCTCACCACACGGCGTATAGCAGCTGTGCTAGCCCCGGGGCACAAAAAGAACCAACTGTGTGGAATATGACAATGGCTCTTATTATTGACTGTTAAAACGTTTAATTGTTAAAACACTTTCTTACTGTGTAAAAGAGAAAAAAACACTTTACATTTCAGTTGTATTAGTTTAATGAATTCCCAGGGAAAACACAATGCAGTACTCATATTGGTACTATTAGTTTGGGAAAAAGTGGTATTGGTTCATCCCTAGGGTAAACTATAGCTTTAAGCTAGCAATGACAACTGTCTGTAAAAACGTTCAGAATGGATGAGTTCGTTTTGATTTGTTTCCTCCACTTCCACCTCCAAAGAGCTGCTGTCACTGTCACAAAATTGCATGACAGTTAATCAATCTAAAAAAAAGAAATCCTTTATTTTGTAAAAAGAATGTGTTTTCAATGAATGTAAGTTGTCTATGGCTCAAACCTGTGTGTGACGTCAGAGCGGGTAACGCCCCCTCTTCTGAAATGGATCAAAGCCGTAGATCTGTGCTCGCCTCTCCTCTCTTCTCTCCGCTGATGTCTGCCACAGTACTGCACTCTACAGCTGTCGACTGCTCACTACACATATATTGTTGTTTTGTGAGTAAAAACGTTTCTGAGAGTCAGATTCCAACACCAGTCCTGTAACATAACCACTATCACAGCGCCAAAGCAAAACAAGTTTTCCAGTATCCACTTTGATATTGAAGCAAATTCACTGCACACCGCCTTGTCATCTTGAATATCCGCGAATAAATACTACCAAACTGTAAACAACTTACAGTTTGGCCTCTTCTCACCAAGGGAGAAGAGGCTGTGAATTTGTTTTGTTTCTAAGGGCGTTGCTATGGGGTTTTCTCGATTTGGGGGATCAGACAAAAAAAAACAATGTACTTTGAAACCTTTGGTATATAAAATGGTATTAAAACTGTATTTCCAAATCAATCAAACCCTGCATAAGGTCTTTAAAGACCGTATGCAGGGTTTGTATCATTTAGGACTGAGACCGCGGCTCTATCAGGAGACTGGGAAATACGCCTGAGTCACTAGAATAACTTTCTAATGTGTTCAGCGCTGTAGATTGATCATTCAAATGAAACGAGTCATTTATAAACATTATCACATTTATATTATACAAGTGTTTGAGTTTGAATACAGCTTTTGATTGTGCCTTTGTGGTAAAAGTGACACGAGGAAATCCCTGTTAGCCTTAGCCTGTTAGCCTTAGCCTGTTAGCCTTAGCCTGTTAGCCTTAGCCTGTTAGCCTTAGCCTGTTAGCCTTAGCCTGTTAGCCTTAGCCTGTTAGCCTTAGCCTGTTAGCCTGTTAGCCTTAGCCTGTTAGCTATCCGTAAACTCCGGTCAATTCTTTATTTCCTTATGAAATGTAATGAGTACGTTATGGTAAGACCATAGACTGTAAATATCAGACCATAGACTGTAAATATCAGACCATAGACTGTAAATATCAGACCATAGACTGTAAATATCAGACCATAGACTATAAATATCAGACCAGGCTAAATCCCTGTTACTGCCTGTTTAGGAAACGAGCATGAAGAAAGGATTGGAGATGATCCAGGACACTAACATTCTACAACATGTATGGACATTTTTTGTGTGCTTTATGTTTCTCATGTGTTTTAACTGTTGATTCTCTGATCTGTGTTGGTGATTTCAATGGTTTTGTTAAGTCTCTGAGATGACTTCTGTTGTGATTCAGGGCTATACAAGAATAAATTGTATTGTATTGTATTGTATTGTGCATGAATCCAGTCTGTCAGGATTATGCTACATTGACATGAAAACCATTGATTTGATTGACGTGAAAACATCGTCGGAGATGTGAGAACTGCTTTTTAAAGGTTGTTATACATTTTTTTTTTTTTTTAAATCTGGGGGAGGCCCCTAGGACCTTCTTTACCTCGCGGTCTCACTGGTCTATGTAACATGTTTACGTGTGTGAGTGCTGCTGTCGAGAAGTGAAGTTATGTCCGTAGTCAGTCCGTTGTTGTTGAGGTTTTTTGTTGTTGTTGTAATGGCGTTTGGACGGCACTTTTCCCTCACGGGCTCTAACCAATAGTTATTAATTATTTTCCTATTTATTTCCCTGTATAAGAGGCGTGTTTGTGTTTGTGCCAATCTGCGTCAAGTTTCTTTCTAAACGCCTCAGGTCCTCTTTATCCGAGGAAGCATCAGGCTCAAACATGTGGCTAAAGGTGTAAGACTTCTTCTTGTAACTGGCTTTGCTCTTCATTCGTTGATACTCAGTTCATAGACGAGGTTTTTTCTTATGTTTCTCGTTCACTGTCAGGATCACTGCACATTTTGAATGGGGGCGGTACCTGCTGTGACGTCACGCCTCCGGTGTGAAGCTTAGACAACGCAAATGCATTAACATATTTCATTAAAATTAAACTCATTAAACTCATTAAGCTCATTAAACATATTTTTTCAATAAAATAAAGGATAATTTTTGCTGGAATCTATTTCATATTGGCATTAACTGATTATCTGTCTTGCAATTTAAATTTTTGGACAAACCCTGCATGAGGTCTTTAAAAAAGGACAAATGGCATAAAAACAGAAAATAAACGTTTACTTCTTTAAACATGTAACACTGTTCTGATTTGTAAACATCCTTCGTAGAAGGGTTTCTCTCCTCAGCCTCAGACAGAGCAGCTGCAGGGTCTTTCTCCTCAGCCACAGAGAGACCAGCTGCAGGGTCTCTCTCCTCATTCAGAGAGAGCAGCTGCAGGGTCTCTCTCCTCAGCCCCAGAAAGAGCAGCTGCAGGGTCTCTCTCCTCAGCCCCAGAGAGAGCAGCTGCAGGGTCTCTCTCCTCAGCCACAGAGCGAGCAGACTTTCTCAGGTGACACAGCATGTGTCTCTTTAACTCAGCCAGTCCCTTGAAGCCCCGCCCACAGTCTGAGCATCTGAAAGGTTTCCCAACGTGCACCAGCGTGTGTCTGTTCAGATGTGACTTGGTCCGGAAGCCCTTCCCGCAGTCGGAGCAGCTGTAAGGCCTCTGTCCCGAGTGCACAAACGTGTGGACTCGCAGGTCGGACTTCCTGCTGAAGGCCTTTCCGCAGACGGAGCAGCTGAAAGGCCGCTGGTCCGAGTGCAGCACCATGTGCATGTCCACGTCGTTGCTGGTCTTGAAGCGGCTCTGGCACACGGTGCACTGGTGCGGCCGCTGGTCCGTGTGCACCAGCATGTGCCTCCTCAGGTGCGGCTTGGTCTTAAAGCTCTTGTGGCAGGAGGCGCAGCTGTGGGGTTTGCGGTCCGAGTGGACCAGCATGTGCTTCTTTAGGCAGCGCCGCGTTCGGAACAGTTTCCCGCAGACTGAGCAGCTGAAGGGTCTGTGGTCGCTCTCTGCTGCGTCAGTGGGAGCCGTGGCGTCGCTGTGGTCCTCGGAGCTGTCCGTTTCAGCTTCACTCTTCACACAGACCACCAGGAAAGGCTCCTCCTCCTCTGGCTCCTCCTCTGGCTCCTCCTCTGGCTCCTCCTCTGGCTCCTCCTCTGGCTGCTCCTCTGGCTGCTCCTCTGGCTGCTCCTCTGGCTGCTCCTCTGGCTCCTCCTCTGGCTCCTCCTCTGGCTCCTCCTCTGGCTCCTCCTCTGGCTCCTCCTCTGGCTCCTCCTCTGGCTCCTCCTCTGGCTCCTCCTCTGGCTCCTCCTCTGGCTCCTCCTCTGGCTCCTCCTCGTCTTCCCCTTTCACTCTGACCACATGAAAATGAAAGTCCGGCTCCTCCTCTTTGATGTGCGGGAGCTCCACACTGGACACAAACAAAAAAACATCAGGCCTGCGCTCGCTGCAGAGCTGTGTTTTGTAGACCCGCGTCGACGGTGGGAAAGCTCTGCGTGTTGTTTGGACCCGGGTCTGCGTTTAACCAGGTGGAAGACGGGTGCCAAAATAAAAAGACCAAAACAAACCTCCCACTTTCAAAGACTTCTAAAGTAAAGAGAGAGGGAGAGAGACCGATAGAGAGAGACTGATAGAGAGAGAGAGCCCGAGAGAGGCCGAGAGAGAGAAAGAGAGAAAGCCTGGGAGAGAGAGACAGACCGAGAGAGAGAGACCAAGAGAGGGAGAGAAACAGAGAGAGACCGAGAGAGAGAGACAGAGAGAGAGAGACCGAGAGAGAGATCGAGAAAGAGACAGAGAGAGAGAGAGACCGAGAGAGAGAGAGACCGAGAGAGAGACCGAGAGAGACCGACAGAGAGACAGAGAGAGGGGGAGAGAGAGAAACCGAGAGAGGGGGAGAGAGAGAGACAGAGACCGAGAGAGAGAGAGAGAGAGAGAGAAAGCCTGGGAGAGAGAGACAGAGAGACAGCCCGAGAGAGACCAAGAGAGGGAGAGAAACCGAGAGAGAGAAAGACCGAGAGAGACCGAGAGAGAGAGAGACAGAGAGAGAGAGAGACAGAGAGAGGGAGAGAAACCGAGAGAGAGACCGAGAAAGAGACAGAGAGAGAGACAGAGAGACCGAGAGAGAGAGACAGAGAGAGACCGAGAGAGATCGACAGAGAGACCGAGAGAGATCGACAGAGAGACCGAGAGAGACAGAGAGAGAGGGAGAGAGAGAGACAGAGAGAGGGGGAGAGAGAGACAGAGACCGAGAGAGAGAGAGAGAGAGACAGAGACCGACCGAGACCGAGACAGAGACCGAGAGAGAGACCAAGGCAAAGAGAGAGAGACATAAAGAGAGGGGGAGAGAGAGAGAGAGACCGAAGAGAGACAGAGAGAGAGCGCGCCAGAGAGAGAGAGAGACCAAGAGAGAATGAGTGACCGAGAGAGAGAGACATAAAGAGAGGGGGAGAGAGAGACAGAGAGAGACCGAGAGACCGAGAGAGGGGGAGCGTGAGAGACCGAGAAACAGACAGAGATCGCGAGAGAGAGAGACCAAGAAAAAGACCGAGACCAAGGGAAAGAGAGACATAAAGAGAGGGGGAGAGAGAGACCGAGAGAGCAAGATGCTTTTGAGAGAGCAAGATAGTTTTGAGAGAGCAAGATGGCGCCGGGTCAGGGCGCCTCAGTAAGAGCTCTGGTGTGCACTATCTGTTCCATGTTGTTATTCGTCTGTGATACACTTGCCACCGTGAGGTACGACCGAGAGACACTTCTCTACATTCGGGACCGAGCTTGTGGAGTATCGCAGGTCTTACCCGAACTGAGGTGCGTGGACTTCGTTGAGTGCCCCACTCGTGAGGCCCGTCAAACATGGCAGGCGGGCCGCGGCAATGGCCGCGAACAGAGCGGGGGGACTGGGCGTCTCCACCGTTCTCTCCGCGGTGTGGAGCTGGGTACCGGGAGCCGACGAAGGAGGCGCAGACACCGGGGAAAACGAGGCGGTCTGCTCGTGAGATGCCGCTCCTGCAGGACCGCTCTGCCCTCCATCTACCTGGCGAATGTACAGTCTCTGCCCAACAAGACGGACGAGCTCCTGTGTCGGGTCCAGAGCCAGCGAGAGGCCCGAGACTGCGCTGTGTTCTGCCTCAGCGAGACGTGGCTCCACACGAACGTACCGGACTCTGCTGTTCAGCCCCCGGGATTCACCGTTCACCGCGCGGACAGAGATAAGGAGACCACGGGGAAATCCAGAGGTGGAGGTGTGTGCTTTTTAATTAATCAGCGCTGGTGCACGGATACTCGCATCGTGAACCATACATGTACTGCCAATCTGGAATGCCTGGTCTTGAGCTGTCGCCCTTTTTATCTTCCGCGGGAGTTTTCTGTGATATTTTTATGCGCTGTTTACATCCACCCACGAGCGGACTATACTGTAGCACTACAGGATCTGAGCGAGATCCTTCATAAATACGAGACTGCTCATCCTAATGCAGTGATTATTGTCGCTGGGGATTTTAACAAATGTAATTTAAAGACTGTACTCCCAAATTTCTACCAACATGTGACTCGAGCTACAAGAGGAGCACAGATCCTGGATCACTGCTACAGTAACGTGAAGGGAGCTTACAGGTCCAGTCTCAGACCTCCATTTGGAAAGTCTGACCACTCCTCTGTTCTCCTTCTTCCTTCGTATACTCAGAGGAGCAGGGAACATAAACCAACCTCTCGCACTGTGCAGTGTTGGTCTGAGGAGGCTAGCATGAAGCTACAAGGGTGTTTTGATGCCACTGACTGGTCTGTGTTTCAATCAGAGGATGTTAATGAATTCTGTGACGCTGTGACTGGATACATACGCTTCTGTATTGACTGCTGTGTCCCACAGAAGGTCATTAAAGTACATCTCAGTCAAAACCCTTGGATGAACGCGGAAGTGAAACAAAAACTTCATGAGCGTGCTCTGGCGTTTCAATCTAACGATACAGTTGCCTATAAGCTATCCTGTTATGCATTGAAACGTTCTATTAAATCTGCAAAGCGCAGTTACGGGGACAGGTTAAAGGGTTATTTTAAGGAAGATGACCCTCGGCGCATGTGGAGCGGTATTAAAGCCATCACGTCCTGGAAACCTAGTGCTGGGAAAATCGGATCTGTTGGCCCAGCTCTGCCTAATGAGCTGAACTCGTTCTACTGCCGCTTCGAATCTGCCGATGCCTGTCCTACTGTCTTTCCTGATTGCCTCAATCAAGGTGCGTTCATCGTGACTCAGGAGGCAGTCCAGCGGGTCTTGTCCAGCACCATTGTCCGGAAACCCCCTGGCCCGGACGGCATCCCTCCTCGCGTCCTGAAACTGTGCTCTGAGCAACTTGCCCCTGTTTTAACAGACATTTTTAACCTGTCGCTAAGGAACTGTACTGTGCCGAACTGCTTTAAAGAGTCGACCATCATTCCAGTTCCTAAGAAAACTCCTGTGACATGCCTTAATGACTATCGTCCTGTGGCCCTCACGTCTGTCCTAATGAAGACTTTTGAGCGGCTTGTGCTGGACTTCATTAAGAGCCAGAACCCTGTGAGTGTTGACCCGCTCCAGTTTGCTACAGACAGAACAGGAGTGTGGAGGATGCATCTCCTTTGCTCTGAACTCTGTCTACAGTCACTTGGACAATAGGAAATCTGTTGCAAGAATGCTGTTCATTGATTATAGCTCTGCTTTTAATTGTCTTGTCCCAGGTAAACTGATTGAAAAGCTCATGTCTCTCGGCTTAAGTGTTGCCATGTGTAAATGGATCTATAGCTTTTTAACAGACAGATCTCAGAGAGTGAAAATCAATGACTGTTTTTCAGATGTTGTTTCTGTGAGCACTGGATCTCCTCAGGGATGTATTTTGAGTCCTTTACTTTTTACACTGTACACTCATGATTGTGTGTCTTCCTCAGACTCTAACCTGATCATCAAATATGCTGATGACACCACCATCATCGGTCTCATCAGTAATAACGATGAATCGTCTTATAGAGCCGAGATCCAAAACGTGGTTCAGTGGAGTAAGGCTAACAACCTCCAGCTGAACGCATCCAAAACATGTGAACTGGTCTTTGATTTTAGTCGCAATAGTTCTCATTTGCCTGTCGCAATCGATAACTCCCAAGTGCAGATTGTAGAGGAGTGTAAGTTTCTGGGTCTAACTCTGTCTAATGACCTGAAATGGGTTAAAAACACTGACCGGGTCGTAAAGAAAGCTCGTCAGCGTCTCTACTTCCTGCGGAAACTTAGAGAATTTACCACTAACTCTAAGATTCTGCTGAACTTTTATCGCTGCACCATTGAGAGTTTACTTGTTGGTTCTGTGTCTGTGTGGTTCGGTAACATCACAGATAAAGGAAAGAGAGCTCTAAACAAGGTGCTCCGCTCTGCTAAGAGGACTGTAGGCTGTGAACTTCCTGTCCTGGAGGCTCTTTATCAATCCAGACTTTTTAACAGTGCCCTGAGAATTATCAATGACTCTTCTGGCCACCCAGGAAAAGCCTTGTTCCAGCTTCTTCCCTCTGGCAGAAGATACTGTTCTCTGAGATGCAGGACATCTCGTTATGCTAATAGTTTTTTTCCACGAGCTGTTATCAGTGTGAACAGAGCACTTTAATGTTTTTTGCACTCGTATAGATCTGTTTTAAGTTGGTCAACTTCACGGTGACATTTGTTTACTGTTTTTAAAATTTGTTTTATTTTTGTCTTTTAATGTTGTTTTGTGTCTGTACTTGCCCTGTGCACACTGGGAACTTTTACAAATGTATTCCAATGTAGTGTTACTGCAAATGGCCAATAAATGAATCTGAATCTGAATCTGAGAGAGAGAGCGAGAGAGAGAGCGAGAGAGGGAGAGAGTGAGACAGAGACAGAGAGAGACCGAGAGCGAGACCAAGGGAAAGAGAGACATAAAGAGAGAGACAGAGAGAGACCGAGAGTGAGACCAAGGGAAAGAGAGACATAAAGAGAGGGGGAGAGAGAGAGAGCGAGAGAGGGAGAATGAGAGAGCGAGAGAGGGAGAGAGTGAGAGACCGAGACAGAGAGAGACCGAGAGAGAGAGACCAAGGGAAAGAGAGAGACATAAAGAGAGGGGGGGAGAGAGAGAGACAGAGAGACAGAGAGAGAATGAGTGACCGAGAGAGAGACCAAGAGAGAGAGAGGGACCAGACGAAACCAGACCAGAGAGAGAGACAGAGAGAGACCAGAGAGAGAGACCAGAGAGAGAGACAGAGAGAGACCAGAGAGAGAGACCAGAGAGAGAGACCAGAGAGAGAGACAGAGAGAGACCAGAGAGAGACCAGAGAGAGAGACCAGAGAGAGAGACCAGGAGAGAACCTAGACCTCTTCAGGGCTGTACTCAGAGTCCTGACAGGAGGCTGAGGTCTCTCTCCTCTTCTCTATCACTTTGTTTCATTTTTGTATGAATTTTATTTTTAAATTAATGAAAACATAATTTCCCATGTTGCAGTAACACACATTAATCATTTGGATAAACCACAGCTTGTGTGCGTCCTGTATTTTTGTGTGAGTTTAAAGTCCGAGGTGTAATCTCAGACTCTGGATATTTCGAGGGCACTGCGCACTTTACCGACGTGAAAGCAGCAGCTGGACAGGCAGCTGTAGACGCTCAGCTGTGGGCTGTGGGGTACGCGGTGATGGGAGACCGCACACACACAACAGGCTGTGCCGTCTGCTCTTCTATGACACACACACTTCATAGTTACACATGTATTAATTATAGGGCTGTCCAAATTATCGCGTTAACGCGCATTAATTACATTTTTCATTAATCACGTAAAAAATGAAATAACGTATAAACATGTATATTTACATGTGTGTAGACATAAGTTATTAACTTATTGCCACGGTTAATTTGCCACTTTTTATTGTACATAATATATCCTGCATTTAAGATGTTGCACATTTCCATCTTTTACACAATCTTGAGTGTTTCTATCCATGACAGATGCGACATGTACATTTCTCCTGTGTGAGATCAATACAGTGTATCTTATCTTATGTCTGTGTGTATAAACGCTATGTCTAAGTGTGTGTGTGTGTAGACATGTCTGAGTGTATAAACGTTAAGTATATGTATGTAGGTGTGTGTATATATATATATATTCATGTCTATGTGTGTGTGTGTGTGTGTGTGTCTTACTCAGGGTCCTGTGGTTCCTCCTTTATGTCCCTGAGCTCAGAGTCTTCCTCCAGTTTCACTTCTGCCATGTTCCACTGGGTTAGCTCCTGTTAGCTCCCGTTAGCTCCCGTTAGCTCCAGTTAGCCTGCTGTGGCTACACCTCCTGCTGTTATGTTATCAGGCCCCGTCCCAATACTCGCACTTCCACCTCGCGCCCCTCATTTGCGCGTTCCCGATAAAGGGTGCGAGTGCGTAGGGTGTCCCAATTCTCCAGGGAGGTATACCATTCTGTATCTGCACTTTTAGTTATGAGTGCAGACACAGGAATAAGTACTCATTTTTCATTTTGAGATTTAAAAATGTAAATAAAAATGAAGAGTATATAGCTGAAGTCATGTTCTTTTGTGCCCTGGCATTGATTTTGCCAAATGTATTGTGTGTTGCAGGGAGCTGGAGCTGCCCTGAGACAACTGAAGTAGAAACCCTCACTACATCACTCGCATCTAATAACACACAAAAAAATCACAGAAGCCCTGTGCCCCATGGCCAAGCAAATTCTATTATTGTTTAATGATTAAGTGTAAAAAATGTAAAAAAATGAGTACTTAATCCATTTCCCTTGCTATGGTTTTGTGTTCTTTCAACCAATAAAATATTTTAATGTTCTTGCATTTTAAGTGAGTGTGTCTATACAATGTGTTTTCTTGTTGAAATATGTCTAAATGTATATGACTAATGTGTTTCTCATTGACTGAGAATAGTATTTTTAATTAGTAAGTACACCAAAAGTACTATAATTTACCCAGTAGATGGTGCTAATGCTATATAGACAAAGGACGAATACAATACTTACACGACGCCTTGCTAATGAACGAAGAGCCATTCTCCTCCTCCGCCTCATCGCCTGTCTTCGCCTTCTCTCTGTTCGGCGGTTTTTAATTCGCATTATGAGAAGTTTTATAATTGTTAACAAAAACACCGCAAAATTCAGTGGAGGTGCCATTTCACCAGTGTTAGAGGAGCTGGTCAGGTGGCGAAAATATGAAAGACGTTAAGCAAATAAGTCAACCAAAATTCATAAATATGAATATAAATTGTAAAAACATTTTATACATGTATATTAGACAAATATTGATATTTTAATATACTTTTATTTATATATACAATTATATTGATCCAATGACATGTGACCAAGCCCCGGCGATTCAAGATGGCGCCCTATTCAAATGAATGGTTGTGCTCAGTGGCGCTTTGTGACGGCATGGGGGCTGAAAGATTAGCGGAAGTTGCCTGAAACTCGCAAAGATCTATGGGAAAATCGCCTGTATTTGGGCATCCTCTGGTCCTCCCGGTTCTGTGCAGTGGATGACCTCCCATAATGCTTTGTGCCTCGAACGACGAGAACGCGGACCTCAAGCGGGAGCGTGCAGCACCACAGACTCGTGAACGCGCATGAATCGAGCGAATTAAGTTCTATCACTGTTTAAGTAAAGATTGATATTAAAATATATGTACAATTGATCAATTATTTTAAGATGGTGTAGAGCAGTATGACAGAGCCTTCTTGTTGTTGATTCTTAATCATTATCTACTAAGTATTTATGATAAGCTAAATGTACAATGATTATATACTTTTTCGTAACGCTTATACTGTGGCATTCACCTGTAGGCCGCCGTGTTTTAAGCAAAATGTCAGTGATGTGTTAACAAGTACTGCAAGATAATTAAGACCATTGTGGATAGATCAAAAAGCTATGTTTTGGTCTTTTGTCCTCGTGAATTGTAATTATTATATTAACGTAATTAATAAGTATTATTCTCTATATACACACACACATTATGTATGTATATATATGTGTGTGTGTGTTTTCCATGAAAAGTCACACTTGTTCACCACCACACGTTGTGAAATGAATAGAAAATAGAGTCAAGACATTGACAACGTTAGAAATAATGATTTGTATTAGAAATAAGATTTGTTTTACATCCAACTTTGCTTTTGTCAAAGAATCCTCCATTTGCAGCAATTACAACATTGCACCAAAAACCAGACATTTGCAGCTAGAACAGCAGTCATTTACCACATAAGCACAGTCTACAGAGTGTATTTCTTTACAGTTAAGACTAGTTTAAAGTTATCTACAGCTTTTCCTTCAACATTGAGGACATTTCAATGTGACCCCAAACTTTTGAATGGTAGAGTATATATTCAGGACTCCCTTGAAAAAGGGGTTCTTTATCTCAATGGGACTTTTCTGGTTAAATAAAACAAAACTAGTTAAGCCACGTATTTGTTTCAGCTGTCTATAATAGGATATTCAAGTATGTATAAAAACTAAAACCGTCATTTTTTTCACAGCAAATGAACTGTATTTAGAGCCATGCAAGAGTTATGTACAACACATTTTAAGAGAATGACAGACAATCTAACTTGAACATATAGAATAATATTATTGTCACCACATGAATGCTAGTGACTCCTACTTCTGTTATTTTGTTGTAAATAAGAAACATTTATTCAATACATTTAAATATGTTTCGATTTTATGTAATTAAGATGAGATTTGTACATTTTTGATTTACAATGACCATGAGTAGAAAACTGAAGGGCGATCGAACTAAGCAACAAAATGTATTTATTTTAAATTACAATGTGAATCCTAATCTGCATTAGCACTTGCCACATGTATTACAGCAAAACATGAATGCATTTACTTAAAATGTGTGTGTCTGTGCTGCCTTTGACTGGCAGGGTTACAACATTCATGGTGAATACCTAAACTCTCTCGCCAGCTCTTGTGTAATCATCACGTTTGAGTTCGGTTTTGATATGGACGCTGTAAAGTCAATAGCTATGTTTATTGTACTCATATTGGTATAAATGACTGTCATACGAATTCACACGACTCCAAACGCTGTAGGAAAGACCATACATAGACTCTTAATGAAGCTAACAATAACCACAACAATGCTGTCAATGTACATTTCGTGTTTATCTGGTCAGTTCGGTTCAGTTTCCTCCCTCGCTCCTCTGTCATCAACAGAGCCGAATGGAGCGCGTTCACGCGAGGAACGCACGCTCGGAACGCACGCTCGTATGGTTCTCATGCACGCGAGCAGAGGGGCTTGGCAACGTCTTGACCAATCAGCGAGCTGCGGATGCTAGAGCGGCGGAAGAGCGGGAAAAAGAGAGCAGAGTTTGTTGCACTAAAGTGAAGATTAAAAGAAAACCTATTGATTTAAAAAGAAAAAAAGTTCAGGATGACAAGGGGCACTAAAATCCCCACAAAATCCGACCTTAATGAAAGCTGTAGGTTCTCTGTCAGCTGAGGTCGAGCTGTTTTAATTTGCATTGAGTTCTATGGGAAAAATTTCTGGGTGGCCCGCGTGAATTTAGTCTGGTCTAGTCTGCAGTACCGCGAGAATCCCCTGAGCACTTGGGTTATTCAGCTATAAGCTAGTAATACCCTATCCAGTTAATATAATACATCCATGCATGTGACAGGGGTGTGATGTGGGCCGCGGCTAAAAATAGTGTGCAGCTGTCCGAATCGCCAACAGAATGAGTGCACTGACTCACTCACTCAGTCGCTATATAGTCCCGAACTATATAGTGAGTGAGTGAATAGGGTATAGTGTGGACATTCGGATACAGCCCTTGTCTTTAATTCACACAGAAGACATGTTTTATTGTTGATGGTAGAGGCAGCATAAACAAAGACGTTACAGAATGTAAGTGACATACAGTGGAGAAATGTTAGCATTTGCCGCGGTGCCAGTAGCTTCAACCTGATATTACCAAAACATGTAGTGAAAAAATTCTGCCTTGTGCATATTGTTAGTGATGAGTTAGAACGTTCACCACAGTAGCTTCAAAGTGTCATGAAATATCCCAAAAAGTAAAAAAAAAAACTCGGAAGAGTCGCATTTTCTTCATATATCAGCAGCAACTCTTACTAGCCTGACCACCCCTTCGTCAACCGGAAGTTTATGCGTCACGTGACTGCAGCAAGCAATCCAAGGACTATCCATGTTTTGACTATGATTAGCTCTGTGTGACACGTATGTCTTTCGATGTGGGACGTAACAATTACTATATATAACTGTACGGACTCCATTTTGGTCTGAGAGAAAGAAACATCAGAAACCACTGGAACTTGAGAAAAACTTAAATAAACTTCCAGATCCGTCTCTGTCTGGTTCATTCCTGACAGCTAGTAACAGTTAGGCTAGTAACAGTTAGGCTAGTAACAGTTAGGCTAGTAACAGTTAGGCTAGTAACAGTTAGGCTAGTAACAGTTAGGCTGGTAACAGTTAGGCTAGTAACAGTTAGGCTAGTAACAGTTAGGCTAATAACAGTTAGGCTAGTAACAATTAGGCTAGTAACAGTTAGGCTAGCAACAGTTAGGCTAGTAACAGTTAGGCTAGTAACAGTTAGGCTAGTAACAGTTAGGCTAGTAACAGTTAGGCTGGTAACAGTTAGGCTAGCAACAGTTAGGCTAGCAACAGTTAGGCTAGCAACAGTTAGGCTAGCAACAGTTAGGCTAGTAACAGTTAGGCTAGTAACAGTTAGGCTAGTAACAGTTAGGCTGGTAACAGTTAGGCTAGCAACAGTTAGGCTAGCAACAGTTAGGCTAGCAACAGTTAGGCTAGCAACAGTTAGGCTAGTAACAGTTAGGCTGGTAACAGTTAGGCTAGAAACAGTTAGGCTAATAACAGTTAGGCTAGTAACAGTTAGGCTGGCAACAGTTAGGCTGGTAACAGTTAGGCTAGTAACAGTTAGGCTAGTAACAGTTAGGCTAGTAACAGTTAGGCTAGAAACAGTTAGGCTAGTAACAGTTAGGCTAGTAACAGTTTGGCTAGTAACAGTTAGGCTAGTAACAGTTAGGCTAGAAACAGTTAGGCTAGTAACAGTTAGGCTAGTAACAGTTAGGCTAGTAACAGTTAGGCTAGTAACAGTTAGGCTAGTAACAGTTAGGCTAGTAACAGTTAGGCTAGAAACAGTTAGGCTAGTAACAGTTAGGCTAGTAACAGTTAGGCTAGAAACAGTTAGGCTAGTAACAGTTAGGCTAGTAACAGTTTGGCTAGAAACAGTTAGGCTAATAACAGTTAGGCTAGTAACAGTTAGGCTGGCAACAGTTAGGCTGGTAACAGTTAGGCTAGTAACAGTTAGGCTAGTAACAGTTAGGCTAGAAACAGTTAGGCTAGTAACAGTTAGGCTAGCAACAATTAGGCTAGTAACAGTTAGCCTAGTAACAGTTAGGCGTGTAACAGTTTGGCTAGTAACAGTTAGGCTAGTAACAGTTAGGCTAGTAACAGTTAGGCTGGTAACAGTTAGGCTAGTAACAGTTAGGCTAGTAACAGTTAGGCTAGTAACAGTTAGGCTAGAAACAGTTAGGCTAGTAACAGTTAGGCTAGTAACAGTTAGGCTAGTAACAGTTAGGCTAAGAACAGTTAGGCTAGTAACAGTTAGGCTAGTAACAGTTAGGCTAGTAACAGTTTGGCTAGTAACAGTTTGGCTAGTAACAGTTAGGCTACAAACAGTTAGGCTAGTAACAGTTAGGCTAGTAACAGTTTGGCTAGTAACAGTTAGGCTAGAAACAGTTAGGCTAGTAACAGTTAGGCTAGTAACAGTAAGGCTAGTAACAGTTAGGCGTGTAACAGTTAGGCTAGTAACAGTTAGGCTAAGAACAGTTAGGCTAGAAACAGTTTGGCTAGTAACAGTTAGGCGTGTAACAGTTTGGCTAGTAACAGTTAGGCTAGTAACAGTTAGGCTAGAAACAGTTAGGCTAGTAACAGTTAGGCTAGTAACAGTTAGGCTAGTAACAGTTTGGCTAGTAACAGTTAGGCTAGTAACAGTTAGGCTGGTAACAGTTAGGCTAGTAACAGTTAGGCTAGTAACAGTTAGGCTAGTAACAGTTAGGCTAGTAACAGTTTGGCTAGTAACAGTTAGGCTAGTAACAGTTAGGCTAGAAACAGTTAGGCTAGTAACAGTTAGGCTAGCAACAATTAGGCTAGTAACAGTTAGCCTAGTAACAGTTAGGCGTGTAACAGTTTGGCTAGTAACAGTTAGGCTAGTAACAGTTAGGCTAGAAACAGTTAGCCTAGTAACAGTTAGGCGTGTAACAGTAAGGCTGGTAACAGTTAGGCTAGCAACAGTTAGGCTAGTAACAGTTAGGCTAGTAACAGTTAGGCTAGTAACAGTTAGGCTAGTAACAGTTAGGCTAAGAACAGTTAGGCTAGTAACAGTTAGGCTGGTAACAGTTTGGCTAGAAACAGTTAGGCTAGAAACAGTTAGGCTAGTAACAGTTAGGCTGGTAACAGTTTGGCTAGTAACAGTTAGGCTAGTAACAGTTAGGCTAAGAACAGTCGGCTAGTAACAGTTAGGCTGGTAACAGTTAGGCTAGCAACAGTTAGGCTAAGAACAGTCGGCTAGTAACAGTTAGGCTGGTAACAGTTTGGCTAGTAACAGTTAGGCTAGTAACAGTTAGGCTAAGAACAGTTAGGCTAGTAACAGTTAGGCTGGTAACAGTTAGGCTAGTAACAGTTAGGCTAGTAACAGTTAGGCTAGTAACAGTTAGGCTAGTAACAGTTAGGCTAGTAACAGTTAGGCTAGTAACAGTTAGGCTAGTAACAGTTAGGCTAGTAACAGTTAGGCTAGTAACAGTTAGGCTAGCAACAGTTAGGCTAGTAACAGTTAGGCTAGTAACAGTTAGGCTAGTAACAATTAGGCTAGTAACAGTTAGGCTAGTAACAGTTAGGCTAGTAACAGTTAGGCTAGTAACAGTTAGGCTAGTAACAGTTAGGCTAGTAACAGGTAGGCTAGTAACAGTTAGGCTAGCTACTTCAAAACTAGAACTCTCTTGAACTACATGAAAACTGAACAAAGAATCGTAAACATCAGCGGTGAGTGCGCCATATATAAACTTCACCTAAATCCATAACAAGATCCTCTGCAAATGTGTTCTAAAATGTTTTATTAATTTCAATGGTTTATAATCTTTATATAATTTAGAAATATGAACCTGAAAGTGGAAGACTCCTTTGATGGGCTGTGAAGATCTCTGCAGCAGATCGTGACAATATTACACACTATATAACTGACAATATGACACACAATATGACACAAAATATAATACCCACAAAATTACACACATGACAATAATGTTGAATATGACACAGTCTGTACCTGTTTCTGGGTCATTGGCAGTTCCAATGTTTGAGGCCATGTCAGACCAGTGTCAGAATCATAAGGACCAAAATAGTGAAAACCAAACCTCCTTCAAAGCTGTAGCGATCAGGCCACTTTAATGACTGCAACAGAAAACCCCAAAAGTTGGAATAAAATTTACTATAAACACGAAGTAACCCATGTATAATGTAAGGGTCACATTTGACCCATTTCAGTTTTGAGTTGATCAAAGTACTTGGTTATCCGTTCTTATTCTTCTGAAATTTGGTGACTTTTTCCTCATCTAGGGTCATGAACTGGTGTGTAAAATCTGGACACTTAGAATGTGTAATGGAATGTCTTGTGCAAGTTTGTAATACAAAGAAGATTTGCGGGTCCATTTTGTCCCAAACGCTTTAAGGTGGGTAAATAGTTGTTCAGATTTAAAAAACCATGTCTCATTGACATTGGTATTTGATTGCCTCTGAACCCAACCAGGTGTGTGAAGAGAGGGAACGTTCTCACAGTTGTCCTGCCACTGATCTCATGTCACTCTTTTGCTAGCGTACATTGGACTGGCAACTGAATATATCTGTGGCCTATGAGTTGCTAACCCCGCACACATTCGACAAACTGGCGAAAACGGGCAACTCCTAGTAGCAGACCAGTCTGGGGAATAACAGCGCGTAACATCGACAGCAACACTACAGGTGTGTTTTCTGACATAAACGTAGAGGGCGCAATACACCAATACACAAATGGTTGTTGGAGCGCGCCACGGACCATGCACATCGGGTCGATATCTCCGGATCGGAGGACAACTTTTGCCGAAAAGTAGAACACGGCAACTGAATAGAATCCGAATCGACTGTTTTATCTCCATTGAAGAAGCCTCACATCGACCGTATTTAGGCAACTGATCACTCCATCATCTACTGTCAGTTGCCAAAAGCCGCCTTCAACTAGATTTCTCCAGTTACTCTGCCGATGTGCGCTAGGCTTTAGAACAAACTCACCAAAAATGAGCTCCAGAATGATGACATCTGGGAGGCTTTATCACAGATTTTGGGGTTGATGATGTAGAGGAAGAGATTTCAGAAACAGAGATTTTTCGAGACAGAAGGACAATGTGATTGCCTGATACCAGATGTCAATGTTCCTAAGATAAGGTGGATTCAGAGGACAAATCTTTTGGTCAAGGAAAGAGGAAGGGAGGACGACGGAAGGTAGGAAGGAAGAAAGGAGAAAGGAAGGAAGGAAGGAAGAGAAAAGAAGGGAATAATAGGATGACCAGAGAGAAGAAAAAAAGGATGAGAAAAAGGAAAGGAGAAATGGATGGCAGAGGAAAGAATTGTCATTTGATCCGAAGAGGACAAGAAGATAGACTAAATATTTCTTAAAATATAGCATTGGAATTAAAAATGTATTGTATGGCACTTTTCTAAATATTTATATAACCATAAAATAAAGTTGTTATTGGTTAACCAGTTTCTTGACTGTTTTGAGTGCAATTACACAGTACGGTTCAAAATGTGACCCGCAACATAATCAATGTGATTTTTTTCAACATAATACAAGGGTTTTTAAGCAGCCATGACACCTGTCTGTTTTTTTTTTTTTGGTGTGACAAGTGAGCTGTCAATCAGAGCCCAGACCACGCCCAACTCTTGTCCCTGGTCTCCAGGCAACGCCCTGTTAGTGAAAAGTTCACATGTTCAATGTGGCGGAGTAAGGCCCCCCCACTGGGCACAGTGTTTAGTCGCTCTATAAGTTACTTGCACACAAAACAAAAAACATGAACTGAAGAAACATTATTTCAGATAAACATTTTAATTTCAAATTTGTTTGCATTTTACTGATTGAATATTTTCCAGATAGTCTGAAATGTGTAGGAATGAAACACAAAATCCAATACACACTTTTCAAAACGAACTCTCCTGACGTTATTCAAGGCCTTCTATATGACAAACATCATATTGCAATTCATCTCAATTACAACCCATTTGTTTTTGTGACAGCCCTAAATCACAACAGCATCTCGCCTCAAAAGACATCACAAAGTTGTCATTTTGCCAACAAGAGATCAGAGAATCAAAGTCTTGATGTTGATAAGAAAATATACAAATAGATATTAGATATTTACCAAAATCAACCCGAACCCTCTTTTATGTTTTGTGCGGATATATATAACATAAACACTGCACAGTTGTTATTCCTTAATAATTGTGCTTTTCAAATCCTGCAACAAAGCATTTAGAAAAGATAGTTAGAAATAACAAGCCTTAGGTGTGAATTAGCACACAGTGTAAACAGCTCTCACCACTTTATCGCTGACTGAGCGGAGCGCTGAAATGAAAGCAGAAATGAAAGAACGGCTCATCAGAAGAGAAACAGAGGCTGGAAATGCTGAGGCGTGTTGAATCCTGAGCTGTATGTTAGATGTATGGCAGAGACAGGAGGACGTCCCAGGGACAGAGCAGGGAGGGAAGGGGGTATGGGGGGGAGACAGGTCAGCCCAGCGATCCACCAGAAAGGCCATGTCTGCAACATACGCCATGTTGGATCGCGCACCTATGTAACTGATGCAAATCATAGAAAAACAGTCTAGCAGCATTTGATCGACTTCATTGATTTTTCAATTACTTATATTGTGAAGTGGGGATATGAGTAAAAGGTGTGATGAGTATTTATTTTGTAACTGTTAAACAAGCTTCTTATATATAATAACAGTAGTGTTAAAATTACCATTATTAGTATGCTAAAGTCAAAAAGTTAAACCTTGATTCTTCATTATGCGAAAGTCGGAGATTTTTAGACATGTTTCTTATTATACAAAGCAAGATATTTTTATACGTACCTCGACATTATGCTACTTCTATCTTTAATAAAAACTATATTCAGAACTAAATTCATGGGAAGAATGGTCTCAGTGGAAGGAATCAACTTAACAAAGACATTAAAGAGTCAAAATAAAAATCATGGTTTTTAAGAAACAACAAAACTACTATACTCAATAAATATGAGAGTGTTACATAATAAGAAAATCTGGATTTTAATTAATGGTTTGTGTTTTGGTAAAATGTTGTACATAATGTTTAATTACTGGTTTGTGTTTAGGTAAAATGTTGTACATAATGTTTAAGGTATGTAATATGGTTGTTTAATCAGTCTTTAAGATGACTATTTATGGTAACAAGTGTCAATTGTATATCTGAGAGATGTACGCCTTTAAATCATTTGATCTCGTGTAAAAGAAAACCTGTACCAAGGACCCTAGTTTCACATCTACCTACTCTGTTTCAAACTGTGTACATATATGTATATAGGGTTCTTATTTTTATTGTATTGGACAATTAAATTGATATAGAGACTACTACCTTATGAATAGGGTTAGGATTATAACGCATTAATTACGATTGATAAACGCGACTAAAAATATATGTGTTTTTGCTCCACGGAACCTTTGTCATCAGGTGAGTTTCACACGGATCGTTCATACTGGTGTACCAGTTGGAAAATAACAACTATCCCCCTATTGTTTTAGTGCAACACTCTGGGCCACATGATAAGGTTATCACACATACACACACACACACACACACACACCTAAGTGTCGCTCTTTCAGAGTTTGGATGCAGTACCTCTTGTTACAGAAAAAATAAAAAAACACCTATACAATACAATACAATTTAGTCTTGTATAGCCCTAAATCACAACTGTAGTCATCTCAGAGGACTTACCAAAAACTACTGAAAATCACCAACACAGATCGGAGAATCAGCAGTTAAAACACATAAAGACTATAGACCACTACATGTTGTAGAATATTAAAAGTGTCCTGGCTCATCACCACAGTCCTTCTAGTTTCTCAATAACTGTGTAACAAACCCATCCTGCATCAGCAAGGAAAAACTCATATGAAAAAAAAAAGTTTGAGAAAGGGATCTGCGTCACTCTAGTGATTCTTTATAGTCCTCCCACCGCCTTCATCATGATTCGCCTACACTGTTTGTTCTACGTTGATAGGCCGGGGCAGGTCCATCCTACCACCCATTCTGATTTGTTGTTAGTACTCCCTCCAAACCGTCATCATGATAACACTATCACACACATACACCTAAGTGTCGTTAACAGGGAGGACCTGCAACTTAGCTGTTTTAGAATAAACCGTGATCATAAATCACTTTAGACAACTGTGAAAGCATTATCACACACACACACAGGCAAATCTAACTCATTAAAACTCTTTGAAAAATACCGTGCAGTAACACCTTTCACCACTTGCTCAAGAGCGCCGTCTCTTTCTGGGGAGTTTTAGGGTGCAGTACCACCTTTTCACCACTTGCTCAATACTGGTGTCTATACTATCTACTCCCCTGTCCTCACCCCCCCTCCATCAACCACACCCCCCTGTCCTCACCCCCTCCATCAAACACATCCCCCTGTCCTCACCCCCCCCTCCATCAACCACATCACCCCTGTCCTCACCCCCTCCATCAACCACATCACCCCTGTCCTCACCCCCTCCATAAACCACATCACACCTGTCCTCACCCCCCCTCCATCAACCACACCCCCCTGTCCTCACCCCCCTCCATCAACCACATCACCCCTGTCCTCACCCCCTCCATCAACCACATCACCCCTGTCCTCACCCCCCTCCATCAACCACATAACCCCTGTCCTCACCCCCTCCATCAACCACACCCCCCTGTCCTCACCCCCCTCCATCAACCACATCACCCCTGTCCTCATCCCCCCTCCATCAACCACACCCCCCTGTCCTCACCCCCTCCATCAACCACACCCCCTTGTCCTCACCCCCCTCCATCAACCACATCACACCTGTCCTTACCCCCTCCATCAACCACATCACCCCTGTCCTCACCCCCCTCCATCAACCACACCCCCCTGTCCTCACCCCCCTCCATCAACCTCATCACCCCTGTCCTCACCCCCTCCATCAACCACATCACCCCTGTCCTCACCCCCTCCATAAACCACATCACACCTGTCCTCACCCCCTCCATCAACCACACCCCCCTGTCCTCACCCCCCTCCATCAACCACATCACCCCCGTCCTCACCCCCTCCATCAACCACATCACCCTGTCCTCACCCCCTCCATAAACCACATCACACCTGTCCTCCCCCCCTCCATCAACCACACCCCCCTGTCCTCACCCCCTCCATCAACCACATCACCCCTGTCCTCACCCCCTCCATCAACCACATCACCCCTGTCCTCACCCCCCCTCCATCAACCACATCACCCCTGTCCTCACCCCCCTCCATCAACCACATCACCCCTGTCCTCACCCCCCTTCCATCAACCACATCACCCCTGTCCTCACCCCCCTCCATCAACCACACCCCCCTGTCCTCACCCCCTCCATCAACCACATCACCCCTGTCCTCACCCCCTCCATCAACCACATCACCCCTGTCCTTACCCCCTCCATCAACCACATCACCCCTGTCCTCACCCCCCCTCCATCAACCACATCACCCCTGTCCTCACCCCCCCTCCATCAACCACACCCCCCTGTCCTCACCCCCCTCCATCAACCACATCACCCCTGTCCTCACCCCCTCCATCAACCACACCCCCCTGTCCTCACCCCCCTCCATCAACCACATCACCCCTGTCCTCACCCCCTCCATCAACCACATCACCCCTGTCCTCACCCCCCTCCATCAACCACATCACCCCCTGTCCTCACCCCCTCCATCAACCACACCCCCCTGTCCTCACCCCCCTCCATCAACCACACCCCCCTGTCCTCACCCCCTCCATCAACCACATCACCCCTGTCCTCACCCCCTCCATCAACCACATCACCCCTGTCCTCATCCCCTCCATCAACCACATCACCCCTGTCCTCACCCCCTCCATAAACCACATCACCCCTGTCCTCACCCCCTCCATCAACCACACCCCCCTGTCCTCACCCCCTCCATCAACCACACCCCCCTGTCCTCACCCCCAACATAAACCACACCCCCCTGTCCTCACCCCCTCCATCAACCACATCACCCCTGTCCTCACCCCCTCCATCAACCACACCCCCCTGTCCTCACCCCCAACATAAACCACATCACACCTGTCCTCACCCCCTCCATCAACCACATCACCCCTGTCCTCACCCCCCCTCCATCAACCACACCCCCCTGTCCTCACCCCCTCCATCAACCTCATCACCCCCCTGTCCTCACCCCCTCCATCAACCACATCACACCTGTCCTCACCCCCCTCCATCAACCACACCCCCCTGTCCTCACCCCCCTCCATCAACCACATCACCCCTGTCCTCACCCCCCCTCCATCAACCACACCCCCCTGTCCTCACCCCCTCCATCAAACACATCCCCCTGTCCTCACCCCCCCTCCATCAACCACATCACCCCTGTCCTCACCCCCTCCATCAACCACATCACCCCTGTCCTCACCCCCTCCATAAACCACATCACACCTGTCCTCACCCCCCCTCCATCAACCACACCCCCCTGTCCTCACCCCCCTCCATCAACCACATAACCCCTGTCCTCACCCCCTCCATCAACCACACCCCCCTGTCCTCACCCCCTCCATCAACCACATCACCCCTGTCCTCACCCCCCCCTCCATCAACCACACCCCCCTGTCCTCATCCCCTCCATCAACCACATCACCCCTGTCCTCACCCCCCTCCATCAACCACATCACCCCTGTCCTCACCCCCTCCATCAACCACACCTCCCTGTCCTCACCCCCTCCATCAACCACACCCCCCTGTCCTCACCCCCCCTCCATCAACCACATCACCCCTGTCCTCACCCCCCTCCATCAACCACATCACCCCTGTCCTCACCCCCTCCATAAACCACATCACCCCTGTCCCCAACAGCTCCTCTCTCCCCCATCACTCACCAATACAAAATCCTGCTCCTCACATTCAAAGCCATCCACAACCTTGCTCCTCCAAACCTGACTGACCTCCTCCAGATCTCCACACCTGCCCGCTCCCTCCGCTCCTCCTCCTCTCTCCAGCTCCTGGTTCCTCCTCCTCGTCACCATGGGGAGTAGAGCCTTCAGCCGCTCTGCTCCCCAGCTCTGGAACACTCTCCCCCCTGACCTCCGTAACACCGACTCACTCACACTCTTCAAACCCACCTCAAAACTCATCTGTTTAGACCTAAGCCCACTCACTAACATAACCACACTCTCCTCTGTCCATGAGGCGTTTAACTTTGTATTTTAACTGTTTTTAGAATGCACTTTTTTACTTGTATGTAAGGCGACCTAAGAAATAAAATTTATTATTATTATTATTATTATTACTAGTGACTTCACACTCAGTCAGTCCAGTCCTAATATATGGTGTTTGGTCAAAATACATACATCAAATGTGAAATACAACAGCAGATATCTATCAAACTATCTAAATGACGTCACTAAGACACGCCCCCGCCGCCTGTCAGCTCCCGCCCACATGTTTCGGACAAACACTGCCGAAATGAATCAAATACCGCTTGTCACTTTAGACGAAAATTATATACCAGGAGCAAAATTCCACCATCAAACCATCAGGGATCATAGTGTAGACCAATTATAACGTTAGCTTGAATGTCGTGGTCTTCCAGTGACTGGTAGAAAGTTTGAGTTGATAAAAAGGTAATGGTGAGGATTATGCTAACATTATCCTGTCATTTAAATTCAATGCTAGCGCCTTCTTTGTTTATTTTGCTGTGATTAACTTCCATTCATCAAGTTGTTTTTTGTACTGTCCACTCTATAATTAGTTTGATCATTAGTTAGCTACTGTCAGCCAATATTATAATAGATCCATGGGGTCACAACGGGCTACGCCACTACTGTCTCTGAGAGAAACTATCAGAGCCACGCTCAATAAACGCAAATGACAATCAATCAACACATTTAAATGTTAATGGGAGAATATATTATACATACAGTCGTAACACACGGAGGTTTTCAGAAGTATCTGTTAAGGTTTTCATGACAAAAATACTTTTTTAATGCGACTAAAGCGATCAATTTTTTAAAGTAGGTTAACCAGCCTCACTGTAACTTGCCTGCCACGGGAAAACCTTTGGGAACTATTTTCTTTGCAGTCATTAAATAAACCTTTTGGCATTAATAAAAGTGACTAAAGTTAATTTTGTGTGTTCAGTTCGTACAAAGCCGTATAATAAGCGGACCCCGACGCGCTTCGTCTGAACTTATTTTCCGATAGTCACGAAGTTGAAGAAAAGTCACAAAGTTGAAAAAAAGGTGTGAGAATTGTATACATTCTGGATTAAGACAAACAATACTAATATGGATTGATGGGGGTAAATGGTATAAAGAGAAAGTTTGTGCTAACTAGTGATGTGCTGAGCGTGCCGGGTCTTCGAAGCGTGTACCGAGTAAAAAAGGGCGTATTTTTTGAAGCGTGGTTCGAGGCGTGTGTTGGTGACGTACGTGGTGACGTTCGAAGCCTCGCGTAGCGCCCGCACCAGGTGACGGTTCTCTCAGGTGCTTCATATTGTCGGAGAGTGCATATAGCTCGTGATGTGGAGCAGTCCTGTACTAAGTATAGAGAATCTACTTCATATGAAATACACTTAAAAACGTTTCACTTTAGTAAAACCTCATATATCCAGGCTTGCCTCAATGTCACGATGGTTTACTTTTGTATAAGTTAGTAGTAATGATACGCTGGATAATACGTTATAGAACAGTTGTGTGGCGCAGTCGGTAAGTGCTTGACTCCGAAACAGAAGGTAAATCAGAATCAGAATCAGAATAATTTTTATTGCCACGTAAGTAACAGGAAGTCACAGATTTGGAAGCTGCTTTGGCTCAGTGCAACAGTCAGAAAGAGATAATAAAAATAAAGAATAAAAAACACTTCTAAAGAATAAATTTGAATTTAAAATAGAGTTACAGTTACTATTTACAATATACAAGTGCACATGGTGCACACAATGTAAGGTGACAGCAGTACAGTGAAGTAAAGTGACGTATGATGGGCAGTAAAGTGACTTTATAAAGGGCGGGGGGACAGGTTAAGAAGTGTTCAAGAGTCCAACAGCAGAGGGGAAGAAACTGTTCTTGTGGCGGGAGGTTCTAGTCCTGATGGACCGCAGTCTCCTGCCTGAGGGGAGTGGTTGGAATAGTCCATGTGCAGGGTGAGAGGGGTCGGCTGTGATACGACCAGCCCGGCCTCGAGCTCGGGCGACGTACAGGTCCTGCAGCGATGGAAGGCTGCGGCCGATCACTTCCTCTGCAGAGCGCACAATGCGCTGTAGTCTCTGTTTGTCCCTGACTGTGGCTCCAGCGAACCACACAGTGATGGAGGAGGTGATGGAGGAGGAGGTGATGGAGGAGGTGATGGAGGAGGAGGTGATGGAGGAGGAGGTGATGGAGGAGGTGATGGAGGAGGAGGTGATGGAGGAGGTGAGGATGGACTCGATGATGGCCGTGTAGAACTGCACCAACATCTGTGCAGGCAGCTTGGCTTTCCTGAGCTGCCGCAGGAAGTACATCCTCTGCTGGGCCTTCTTGATGAGGGAGCTGATGGTCGGCTCCCACTTGAGGTCCTGGGTGATGGTGGTGCCCAGGAAACGGAAGGACTCCACAGAGGTACAATACAATACAATACAATGTATTCTTGTATAGCCCTAGGTCACAACAGAAGTCATCTCAGAGACTTAAGAAAACCATTGAAATCACCAACACAGGTCAGAGAATCAACAGTTAAAACACATGGAGAATATAAAGCACACACAGAAGAAAATGTCCATACATGTTGTAGAATGCTAAAGTGTCCTGATCATCACCAATCCTTTCTGTTGGACACTAACTGTCCAACAAGACCCTCCTGCATCGACAAGGAACAACTCTTAAAAAACCCAGTGGGAAAAAGTGAGAAACCTTGGGGAGAACTAGGGAAACCCACAGGGAGGGAGACCCATTTGAGAAAGGGATCCGCTCCTCCGGACGGACAGGCTAATGATCTAGGACCTAAGCTAGCTACAGGACGTGGACCAGTGGCCGCTGAACGTGGACAGGTCCGGTGCAGGACTGAAGCACTCCCAGGCGGGTCGGGCGGGGCAGTCCGCAGGTGTAGATGGAGGAGGCCAGCCTCAGAGATCCCGTCATCATACCATGAAACAGACAATGGGACAACGGGTGAATAGCAATGAACAAACTACAGTCAAAATCCTAATAATGCTAAACAGATAAAGTAGGAAGGAGGAGAGGATAGTGCTCAAGTTACCATACTTCTCCAGCAAACTGACTCCCTATGCAGCTTGACTGACAGTCTGAGGAGTTTAGCCTTCCCTGAGTCTTACCTTCCTAGCCATATGCTAAACTAAAGAGGACTGTTTTAAACCTAGCCTTGAATAAAGAGAGCGTATCTGAAAGGAGGCGAGACAGCAGCAGCCACGGCTAGGCTAGCCTATAGGCTACAGCACCAAGATTCATGGACCGCACACCAAGTGTACAAACCAATCCAAGCAAACCTAATTATATATTATATATCATATATAATACACAACATAACATGCAGCATAATATATAACATAATATACAACATAACACAATACATAACATAATACATATATTGTATAATATAGTTTAGTTTAGTTTATTTCTTATTTGATGTCTTGCACCTAAAGATGCAAAAATGTAGCAGACATCAGAAAAACATCAAACAAAGAGTGTTCTCTTCCGTTGGAGCCATGCACTTAACAAAAACTTAGACAAATGAAATGGCTTATACTTGAATAGAAACTTAAGCTTTTCCTGATCAGACAGTTCAAACAAAAGTTCAGCAACATCAGACAGTTTGCAAAATAATTGCCTTCTCAGATCATGGTACAAAGGACAATAAAAAACAAAATGCAATTCATTTTCAATATCATTTAAGTGACACAAACAACATGTCCGCTCCTCCTCTGGGACCGAGTGAAATCGTCCTGTCTCTAGAGCCAGGGGCAGGGTCCCAGACCTCAGTTGAGCACAGACTGACCTCTGACCTCTGGTCAGGTTCAGGGTCACATAGGGCTCAGGACCAAAATGATCCTTTATCAAAACATAAGTTCTCAGTTTTGGCTTACACAAGACATTGATTAACCATTTATGTTTATACTTTTCAAAATAAACTCTTTTAAATTCTCCAACACTACAACGCAACTTGTTTCTGAAAATAAACTGGAGATCAGCATCAGCAAAAATTTTCTCCATCTGCACACTCCAAGCATTTCTATGAGACAGGTCCCATTTAAAGATGTGTTTGGACAGTCTTGAGTCAGACATGTTGATAAACCTGTTCCATAACCGTACCATGTCACACACATGCCTTACTTCACATGGTTCCCAACCCAGGTCCCCGTACAGAGCAAGTTTAGGGGTGTTTTTATGAACAGCTAGAAAGTATCTCATAGCTCTGCATTGAACTTTTTCACTGTGCGTCTGTTTAGAGTAACCCCAGACCCCAGCACCATAGTCCAACACCGGGCACACACACGCTCTGTACAGCTCAGTGTAGGTCTTATAACCCAGATCACGACACGCCTTCACTTTATTTACAACAGCACCGAGAGCTCGACCTGCAGATTCAGAGAGTGATTTAATCCCTTCATCAAATGTGAGATGTTCATCTACCATAAATCCCAGATATTTGTACTTTTTAGTAAAAGAAAGAACTGTATTGCCAAAACAAAATGTAATGTCTGATAATGCCTGGGTACTTCCTCTGAAATGCATAACTTGAGTTTTATCAGTCTCATTTTGTTGCACCAAGCATGAACAATATTGAACATTTTCTGAAGGTCTGATTCCTTTTCGGCGAATAGCACAATGTCGTCCGCATACAACAGAATACAAAATTTCAAGTCTCCCACATTAATGCCCACATCTGCCTCTTTTACTTCATTTACTAAATCATTAATGTATATAGCAAATAATGTGGGAGACAGAACATCACCCTGTTTTACGCCATATGGTGTTGGGAACCGGTCAGTGAAGTGGTCATTTACTTGAACACAAGAGATTGGATTTTTATAAATAGCTTTAACTGCGTCATAAAATTTACCATCAATCCCCATTTTTAATAACATATAGCCAAGTAAATCTCGATTAACACAGTCAAAAGCCTTCTGAAAGTCTATGAAACAGGCAAATGTAGACTTTCCCTCTTGTATTCTAGCATTTGTTACTGAGATAAGAGAATAAATGTGATCTATACAGGCTCTCTTTGTCCTAAACCCGTTTTGCTCGTCAGCCAGTAGGTCAAGGGATTCCAGGTAACACGTCAATCTCTCATTAAGAATACTGCTATACAATTTGTACACACAACTAAGGAGACTTATTCCTCTATAATTCATAGGCACTCGAGGGTCTGAACTCTGTGACTTTGGAATAGGTTTGATAACAGATTTGTGCCAGTCTGAAGGGATCAAGCTCTGCTCAAAGCAAGTAAACAGTAAATTATAAAGCACTGGGAACAAACCAGGCTGTTTTAGCAATTCATTAGACAAGTTGTCAAATCCAGTCGCTTTCTTAACTTTTAGTTTATCTATTGCCCTTTTGACTTCACTTTCTGTAATATCAAAATTTAAATATGGATTATATGAAAACTTTGCAGAGATTTGGACTTTTAGCACCAATATCATTTCAAAATAAGAATCGTCCCACTCAGGGGACACCAAACCACCGGAGAATAAGACTTTAAAGAGCGACTAAACACCAAATCAACTTTTTTTAACTCTTAAACTGCATAAGTATGTTTATTGTAGTGCTGTCTACATATCCTGGTCATTCTTTTGACATTTTAGTTCAAATTAGATAAAATATCACTTTTGAGCCAAAAAACGCTGTGTGGCGCCCTCTCAACCTTTTTGGTGGTACTACATTTGAATTTGGTTCTGGCCTCTCCATTGACTCTGAAGTTCTCTATGACATCAGTTGTTTTGTGTGACGTCAGTCTGTCAGAGCCAGTGATGTGAACCCATTCAATTCTCACACACGCCCCAGCTGCAGTTTGGAGTATTCTGGCGCCATCTAGTGGATTAAAATTAAATTACATGAGTCATTCTGAGATTATTGAGTGTGATTAGATTCAGGTGTGTAGCTTTACAATTATCTTAGTGTGTAAACAAGGGTGGAATGAGACTTTCTGGTCTGTAAACTATTGCTTTAAGCAGCAATGACAACTGTTTTTTTTTTTTGTGTGTGACAAGTGAGCTGTCAATCACAGCCCAGACCACGCCCAACTCTAAGCCCCCCTTCTTGTCCCTTGGTCCTCCAGGCAACACCCTTTTTAGAGACAATTTTCAAATCTTCATGTGGGCGGAGTAAGGCTGGGCACAGGTGTTTAGTCGCTCTTAAATTCAGATTCCCAATTCTTTAATACCATTTTAACATCAAAACAAAAGGATCCATCCTCCAAAACCACTTCTAGTGGTATTTCTTTCTCTTTTCTTGGGCCAAGTTTATTCACCAGACTCCAAAATGATTGGGGGTTATGAGTTTGATTATGTTCAATTTTTACAGCTAGTCCTCTTTGATATCTTCTCTTGTTCGCTCGGAGTCTTTTATCAAATTGGTGTTGTTTATTTTTAAAATCATATTTTAGCTGTTGTTTATTTATGCTATTGCACAGGAGATACTTCTTCTCAGCCAGTCTCACCCCTTTCCACGTAGTAGATAATTCCTTGTTCCAGTAAGGTTGATTTGTTGTTTTATTTTGTTTTCTAGTAGTGCACTTAATGATGCCATGAGATTTACCAATATCATACATTAATTGACAAAAATCTACATACACATCATTCATCAGATGTTCATGATTTACATGGATCAAATGATCTACTAATTCTGAGACTGCAGACTGAAACCTGTCATTTGTAAAGAGATGATGGGGGAGATTTCTTGTGTTTCTTTGTTTGTATTGTTTAGGCTGAACATTACTTGACACCACAGGGTTTTGCCTTCCTTTGAAAGTTAAAACTAACAGAGAGTGATCAGGCATTTTACAGCGATAGTCCAATAGATCAAAATAAGACACATTTCTGTCAAGAAGCTCGTTTGGACTATAAACATGTAAATTACAGGAGGTGTACAGGCAATCATGAGTTGTGATAATGTAATCCACCACTGCTCTTCCTTTCACAGATACAGAGGTGAAATTATCCTTCCCCAAAATGCGACCATTTAGAACACAACATTTGCTGTCTCTCAAAAAATCAATCAACATTTCCCCTTGAGAATTTACAATATCATCTATCACAGTCCCTCTAGGAGGAATGGTTAAATCAGAGTCACTGATCCAGTCCGCCAAGTGTCCAATCCGACTATTAAAATCTCCACAAATATATACTGTGTCCATTTCAACTAAATCATACATTTTAACCAAAAGAGCGCTGTACAGTCTCTGTGAGTCAGACCATGTGGATCCTTCAGGTGGAAGGTAACAGGAAAGCAAAGCCAGGGAATATTTAGAGATCACATGCTTAAGATTTATACATATTATACCCTCGTTAGATCTATCAACAGAGAGTACATCAAACTCTTGAAGAGTATTGTTTTTAATAAAGATACCAACCCCTCCAGAGCCTTTTTTAGCTTTGATATGAGTCCTCCTGTTATGTCCAAACCATGTATAACCATTAATGTCAATAGTGTTCTGTCCAGTTAAATGGGTCTCATTCAAAGAGATAAAGTTTGGGTCATGACTCAATAAGATACATCGTCTAAGTTCAGAGTTTAGGTCGGTCCATCCATTTACGTTCCAGTGTACAAGCGTGTAGAGCTCACTCACGGGCTGGGCTGCAGACCCTCAGGTAGCCGTGCGCCGCATCGCGCCGCTGTTGCCCCCGCTGCGCCCAGCACCAGCTCCAATGCTGGCTTCGGCACCCGCTCCAGAGCCGGGCCTTCTTCGGATTTTGCCATTTCCCGCAATGTAAAATTGACGACCGAAAGGCAACTCATTCAGCAAGGTTCTGAAGTTGAGTTCAATAAGCCGCTCCGCGTGCGTCTTACCCGAGCGGATATACACCCGGCTGTACTTTGGGTTGTCTTTGAGGAGCTGTTTCTTACGCAGCACGCTGATTTTCTCCTGTACGGGCGGCACGGTGGCTGAGTGGATAGCACTCTCGCCTCTCAGCAAGAAGGTCCTGGGTTCGAATCCCGGTCGGACCAGGGCCTTTCTGAGTGGAGTTTGCATGTTCTCCCCGTGTCTGCGTAGGTTTCCTCCGGGTACTCCGGTTTCCCCTACCACTAAAAATATGTCCAATAGTTCTAGCATGCGCCTCCTGTACTGGCGACCGCGCTCCCATCTCTGTGTGGAGTGAGAGACAAATGCCCAAAAAATTAACAATTGTAAACCGCTTTGAGACTCAGATCTGCAGTGAAAAGGCGGTATATAAATAAATACTTACTTACTTACTATTACTACTTACTGTACGGATCCAAATTCCACCTTCACCACTCCCGGACGTCCTCCTCTGTCCTTCAGCCTCTCTGCGTCCACGATCGGTGTGTTCTCCAGCAGTCCCTCGGTGAGTAGCTCCTTCACCAGGCAGGTGACGTTTTCCCCGCTGTTGTAGTTTAGCCCGGTGACAACAATGGACACGTCTGGGTCAAAACGCGTCTTCTCGGAGCGATTGATTTTAGCTTCCATTTGTTCAATCCTCCTTATCAATAGGCTTATATCATTATCCATATTTTGTTGGATGTTAGTTTGGATTTCAGCTGCTTTCAGAGAGAGCTCCTCTTTTAGCCACTCCTTGTTTTCGGACATCATTAATTGCACCGAGTCCCGCAAACTGTCCACTTTAGAATCCAGCTGCTGCTCAAAGGAGAGTTTTAGTGCGTCGATTGTGGCGGTCAACGCCCGTATCTCCAGGACCAGATTACCTGCAGTCTGATCAGGATCTTTGCGCTCCTTTTGCCGCGTGCTCGGTCCCTCGGTGGGCATCTTGAGCACAAACGTTCTTTTTGCAGAAAGAAAGACTGTTTTGATGAAAGTGGGTCAGTTAGCTGTTCCAATGGAACCAAACTTAGCTCAGTAAGAGAGAACACCCAAACGCCGGTGTCCTCTGTCCGCCATGTTTTTTTTTTCTTTTCATTATAATAATATATAACATAATATATAACATAATACAGCATATATATATAATATATACACCATATATTATATATTACCTAATTATATGCTAAATTAAAGTAGAGTGCTTTAAGCCTGGCCTTGAATGTGGAGACCGTATCTGCTTCCTTAACATAAATGGGAAGCTGATTCCACAGTAAAGGAGCTTGGAGCTAAATGCTCTGCCGCCAACAGTGATTTTTGAGACCTTAGGAACCACCAGACGTCTGGCGTTTTGTGAGCGCAACGCTCGACTTGGTTGATACAACACTAACGTGTCTTGGAGATAAGAAGGAGCCAAGCCATTTATGGCTTTATATGTTAAGAAAAGGATTTTAAACTTTATTCTGTACTCCACAGGGAGCCAGTGGAGTGATTTTAACACCGGAGTTATGTGCTGCCTCCTTTTGGTACCTGTTAAGATCCTAGCTGCTGTATTCTGAACGAGCTGGAAGCTCTTCAAAGAGGCTTTAGGGCATGCTGCCAATAAGGCGTTACAGTAGTCGAGTCTTGAGGTGACAAACGCGTGAATACGTTTTTCCGCGTCACTTTTAGGAAGGAAATTCCTAATTTTAGGAGGCACTAAGGTCCAGTAGGACCAGCACTGACACTTGTCCATTATCAGCAGCTAGTAGTAAGTCATTTGTGACTTTGACTAGTGCCGTTTCAGTCTATGATGAGCTCTGAATCCAGATTGAAAGACTTCAAACATATTATTTTTCTGCAGGTGGCAGCAAAGCTGCTCAGCTATAAGTTTTGCCAGGATTTTAGATATAAAAGTGAGGTTTGAGATCGGTCTGTAGTTTGTAACTATTTCTGGGTCCAGGTTTGTTTTCTTCAGAAGGGGTTTGATAACCGCGGTTTTAAAAGCTTGTGGGACATAGCCACATTGTATGGATGCGTTTATTATATTTACGATAGGCTCAATTATCAAAGGAAGTATGACTTTGAAGAGCCATGTCGGGACTGCGTCTAACATGCAAGTTGAGGCTTTTGAGGATGTGACCACAGAGATCACCTCTGCTTGGCTCACAGCCATGAATTTATCGAGGCCCACTGAAGAGTCTAAGTGGGAAGTCACGTATGCCGCTTCAGCCTGTCCACTACCAGTGGAGCTTGGAATTTTAGGCTCGATTGCGCTATGGCAGTTTGTGAGTTTAGCGACGGTGCTAAACAAAAATCTACTGTTGTTTTTATTCGCTTCTATTAAAGTTGAATAGTATTGAGTTCAAGCCCTGCGAAGGGCATTCTTGTAGTTTCGGAGACCTGCTTTCCACTCCCTGTGGACAGGCTCCGAGTGGGAGTGGCGATATAGCCTCTCCAGTTTTCTGACGTCCTGTTTTAAAGTGTGGAGTTGAACACTGTACCAGGGCGACAATGGGCCTCATTCACGAACGGTTCTTAGGAACAGATTTGTACGTAAATCCTACCTACGAGGTTTTTACGAAGAATTTTTCTCGTAACCAGAATTTCTCTTGGGCAAGTACAAATCCTACGAGTCCTCAGGAGCACTCGTACGCATTCAGTGCCGACATGTTCACACGCCGGGGTTGTCCTCTTTGGTGAAGTTTAATAAAAATACAACATTCCAGTGATATGTCCGTCATATTGATGTATGTATCATTATCTATTATTTCATTTTTGTGGTTACATATTATTTTTCATATTAATTTTCAAATTAAATGTGCCAACGCTTTTCAAAATACATTGGAAATCTCTCCGTGTATTAGTGACCCCTTCCTATTTATAGGGGGCATTTCTTTATCCACGGACCACAGAACAACGGCATATATACTGCTGCTGCAGGAGGTTACTGGGTCCGCGCTGAGTCTCTGCGCTGCTCTCTCCTATGGATCTATACGGGTCTGCACTGGTCTCTCCCATGGATCTATACGGGTCTGCACTGGTCTCTCCCATGGCTCTAGACGGGTCTGCACTGGTCTCTCCATACGGGTCCGTGCTGCATGCTCCTGGATCCATACGGGTCCGCGCTGGTCTCTCAAGTCTGGTCTATGCGGTCTCTCTTCGGTCCGCGCTGGTCTCTGCGCACCGGTCTCTCCAGTCAGGTCACTCCAGTCTATGCGGTCTCTCCTGTCCGCGCTGGTTTCTGTGTGCTGGTCACGCCAGTCTCTCCTCGGATCTGCATTGGTCTCAGCGCTGGTCCGCGCTGGTCCGCGCTGGATCTCCTCCCAGGGTCCAAAATATTTTGAGAATAATCTCAAAACATTTTGAGCTTCATCTTTAAAATAATACATAATATATTTTTAAATTAAGCTCATAACATTTTGAGATTAATCTCATCATATTCTTAGATTAATCTCATAATTTTGCTAGTTCGACTTTATTCTCATAATATTTCAACTTTTAAGTCAACATTTTATAACTTTATTCTCAGTCTGGCAAAAGAAGTAAAAAGGGTGACTCTTTTGCTCCGTGCAACTCTTTGCTTTAGGCCTGTTGCTGTTTCCTCTGCCGTCTGCACACGGCCCTGCAGTCCCTTATATGGGCATTAGTGGGCGGTTACCTATGCTAAGTACCTATGCTAATGAAGCACCTGGCACGCGCTCTCTACTTACGAGGAGTTGGCATTCATCAATCTGAGAGAACAGCTGCGAACAATTCAGCGCCTTACGAGCGCGTTGATGAATCCCACGTAGGGTCTTCTTAGAAATCTACTGAAGAACAACTTGAGAAGAAATTTAAGAAGTTTCTTACGAAGTTATTCGTGAATGAGGCCCAATGATCTAATCCTAATAGTTTTCTGTTTTAAAGGAGCTGCTGCATTTAATGCAGATTTGAAAGACTCCATAGTGTTGTCCACTGTTTGGTCAATGACTGAGGGACTGCAGCAGCTGTGAACAGGTTCACCTGCAGCAGTATTCAACATAGGCTGTATTAGTTCTTTGAACCTTGTGATAGATTTATCATTTAAGGTTCTTTTCATTATGGTTTTATCTTGCGGCGCAGGAAAGTCCTCCAAATCGAGATCAAACGTGATCAAGAAATGGTCAGACAGCAACGAGCTTTGACGCTGGATGTCAACATTGGAGACATCACAGCCGTAGGTCAGGACAAGGTCCAAGGTGTGGTTATGAATGTGAGTAGGTTCCTCAACATTCTGAGTAAAACCAACACCATCTAGTACGGCGCTGAAAGCTTTGTTTAAGCTGTCAGTGCTGTCGTCCACATGTATATTGAAGTCTCCAGTTATAACTATGTTTTCCCATTCCAAAACTAGGTTTGAAATGAAGTCAGAGAATTCTGTTAGGAACTCGCTGTAAGCACCAGGAGGTCGGTATAAAACTATAAATAGCACCGCTTTTTGTTTTCTCCACCCAGGACAGGTGATTGAAAGTGTTAAGTTTGCAAACGAGTGAAAAGCATTGTTGGTTTTGGGACTAAGAAGTAAGTTGGTGTGTGATATAATCGCAACACCACCGCCGCGACCTGTAGTTCTGGCTTTCTGGTAGTTAACATGCGTCGGAGGAGTGCACTCATTCAATCTAACGTAGTCGTCCTGTTGGAGCCAAGTCTCCGAGAGCGCAAACAGATCCAAGCCCTTGTCTATAATAAGTTCGTTTATGAGAAGCGATTTAGACGAGATTGATCTGACGTTCATTAAACCACATTTAACAACCCTACTTTTAGAACTATTTCTGTCTGTCTAAACTTTTATTAAGTTACTGTGTCTGACACCCAGGTCAGATTTCCTCACATATAGTGCTTTAGACTTCAAGCGAGGAACACACACAGTTTCAATCTGACTAGCCTCTGAGGCTAGTAACTGAACAGATGGGGGCTCAGAGGTTGTGGCAGAGCAGCTCTGCACCCGAGCCTCAGTTCTGCATCGTCATTTGAGCCGGGCAGAACAGTTTAGAGCCAGGGCCAAATTCTTAGCCAAAAGGGATGTACCCGCCAACGTTGGGTGGATATCATCCGAGCGGATGAGAACGGGGTTTCCCCAAAAGGCACTCCAATTGTCAACATGAACAACACCACTTCGAGGGCACCAGCCAGACAGCCAGCGGTTGAAAGCAGAGTGTCTGCTGAATGCTTCTGCACTGCTAGTGCTAGGTAGGGGCCCAGAGAAGATGACAGTGTCGGCCATTGTGCTAGCCGGCTTGCACACCGCGGCGACTTGCAGCTTCAACACCTCGGACTGTTTCCGCCGAACGTCATTACCACCCGCGTGAATAACAATTCGACGGAAACGCTGCTTGTGGGTCATCATGAGCCTCAGATTCCCTTCAATATCACCAAGCCTGGCCCCAGGGAAGCACCGAACAGTGGCTCCTGGGATCTTAACACCTCTAACAATAGACGAGCCAATTACCAGCGCATCAGCGACTCCATCGGCTCTCTCAGCAGCTCTCTCAGGGGCTCTCTCAGCGGCTCTCTCAGCAGCTCTCTCAGCAGCTCTCTCAGCGGCTCTCTCAGCAGCTCTCTCAGCAGCTCTCTCAGGGGCTCTCTCAGCGGCTCTCTCAGCAGCTCTCTCAGGGGCTCTCTCAGCGGCTCTCTCAGCAGCTCTCTCAGCAGCTCTCTCAGCGGCTCTCTCAGTGGGGCCTTCTTCCTCGCCCGGCCGCGCGGGGGCGCTGCCGGACAGAGCGTCCCAGCGATTGTAAATGCTAACAGGAGGAGGCCCAATGGGGAAACTACCAACAACACGTGGCCCTCTCCGAACAGTCACAAAGCCATCACTATCCTGGTCTTGTCCCAGCTGCGGAGGACGGGCTGGGAGGCTAGGCTCGCTAGTTCTCCTCTGCCTTTCCCTAAAGCTGCGCTCCGCTGTCCCTGAGGATACGGCCTGGCTGTAGCTAATGCTAGCGCTAGCT